TCGCTTTCTTTTGCATGCTGTCTGTGCTCCTGTCTTCATCCTTAAGGTTGAAACATTCTCGTCAGACAGGTCAATTATTTGGGCTTAAAGAAATAGTGGAAATATCAGAACTGAGAAGCTACTGAAATGTCAGGAGAAACCCGCAAAGACTTTTCTTTCAGGTGAGAGTTGTGATATAGCAAATACGCTTCACAGTACCAGGTATTGACATTTTCTCTTTCATGAAGGCTCTCACGCAGACTGACATCTTACTACCACAGAAACACTACCTAACCAACACCCTCAAAACCATGTAACGCGACTGCTCAAACACAAACCTTCATCTTACAAGAAGATTACTTTGTAAAACAAATATTGTGCTGTCTCTACTTCTAAAATACTTTATAAACATTTTGTAACAAGAAATACAGCCATGCCTTTCCATTTTTCTCTGCATTTTTCTGACAGTCTTCCTACTGTCCTGTACCCATAACAGGAGCCGTGGAGGTGCAGGTCAGAACTCCAGCCTGACAACAAATTAGAGGAGGTGATACAGTCCAAGAAGACTCTCATATCTTCATTTTAGTAAAATAGGAATTATAAAATTGACTAACATATGTTTTACCTCAGTTCATCCCGTTCCAGCAGCATAAAGTGTTAGAAGCAAAAGAAGCAGCTGCAGCCCCTGCCCTGAAAATTGAGTTAACTTTTTGCAGTCATTTGATCAAAATTAACATAAAAATCAACAAATCATCTGCCACATATTGTAGGGCCATCTTCTGCTGCACACAATACCTTTTTCTAATGAGCAATCAGAAGTGTCTGCGCTCATTTTTTTCAGTGTATGGATCCTGTTCCACTCCTTTTGATTTTGACAGGCTCAACCCCTGAAATAAAATCTTATCTGTTCACCGTTCCCAAAAGTGAGATCAAAGTGAGGCATATTTTTGGAGTTTAGCATGAAAATTTTAAGCCAAAATTTTGCTAGTAATTGGCACAGTTCTTTGTTGAACAGTCTCCAGTTTCTCCAACTAGTTTTCATAGTGATAAAGTCACTCATAAACACTGACATATTCATAATTCACTAATTCATCTGAAATAAATCTCTACTTTGCTTTATAATACTCATTGTTCACTAATTTAGCCAGAATTAGAAAGCTGTCTCTAAATAAATTAATTCAAATTATAAGTGGATATACATATAGTATAGACACACAAAAATAATGTTGGATTCAATAAACCCAAGCTTCAACAAAGCTGAGCTTAATGAACAGTCTCTGAGTGATAACCCTTAAAAGTGTAAGGAAAAAAAAAATAAATGAAAAGGCTCTTTTTCTCATATTCAATACCATTTAAAATAATTAATTATGGCATTATAGTAATTCCTTTAAAGTCACGGAAAAAATAGGATTTTAATTTTTGTTAAGTATTTTCTCTTAAGAATTCTGCAAAGTCCTGTCAAACTCCAAAGATCTTGCTTCTCCTTTATTTGACAAGGCTTTGATGTTTTTTTACAGGGACCCTGACTTGATCAGTCCCCAAAGGACAGAATACAAATCTCAGCTGCTGCAGCAAGCAAAACAGGTATGAAGCACTCTTGAAACTGATTTTCCCACACAATTTGTTGTCCCTCCATTCCTACTCTAAAAAAGAAATGTCGTGATAACACTTGTCTTTGATATTTCTTTAGCTCTTTTTTTTTAACCTAGTTCTAATTATGTGAATTAATTGAGAAAAGTCTTATACAAATATGGCAGAAAAAAAAACAAACAACAACAACAAAACAAAACAAAACAAACAAACAAACAAACAAACAAAAATGAGAAAAACAAGGGATTCCGAAACTGGCAAAAAATATATATAATATATTATGGTTCCTTTATATACATAAAGGCAAGAAAAAATTGCAAATCTGCCTATGACAATCTACACACAAAACTGGTCTCTGTTACTGCACCTTCATTTTCCTCTTACTGAATACCTCATATCAGACAAAGTTGGATCACACATAATACCCTTCCTGTCAGTGTTGTTGCTTAATTAGTCAATATTATGTGAAGCTTATGATAAAAATAATTGAGCTGGCACTTCCAGCCTCTAAAGAGAGGCATTAATATGTAGAATATTCTCACAAACTACAGTTTTCATGGACTGTGAATGGAAAAAGACACTGAGACATTCTCCAGAGAAGGGCTATACATGACTTCAGTCTCAATTTAGAGAGTACAGATACTGCTTAGTCTGTAGCTTCCATTTTTGGACATATTTATAATTAGTTGGTAAGATATCAAAATACATGAAAGTATTAACAAGTGCTTCTATTATTTCACACATTTTTCAATGATGTCAGTTGTCATACCAAACTTACTTTGAGAAAACCTTTTTTCTCCCAGCCTCCCCTAAATAACTAAGGGAAAAACACATAATACATAGCTTCTGCATTGCAACAGATACACAATAGTGACAAAGAATAAAAAAATAGTAAAATAAAATATAATAATAATAATAATAATAATAATAATAATAATAACACAACAGCAAAACACTAAAAGAAAGTGGTTAAAAATATTTTTCTGCAAAGGACACTATTTAGAATATTCTGCATGCAGTATTTTTTCATCTTGATCCCCAGGGAGAAGGTTTTATTCTTTCTGATGCTTTGTCTTCTATGCATTTTCAAATGCATTAGGCTCTAAGCTGAACATAGGCGATTACTAAGATCAAAATATATAGTTATTTTTTTCAATGCATTAACATGAAACTATCAAACCTGTATTACAACACTGATATTTTGAAATTACTACCTATAAATTTGCATTAAATTCCAGAATATTAATAGATTTCAACTTTGACAAAAGTATAAGTTGAAAATCTTTTGTAGAAATACCAAAACCAGGCCTTCCACTCAGTTTTTTGATGTCTCTTCTCTTTGTCACCTTATGGGCCCCTCATCTTTTATTCTCTGTACAAGGAATAGTAATCAGTACATTCCAAACACATACATTTCCTTACCTCATACAAAGTAAAATGACAGATCGAGACACTCTCCCAAGAAAACTTTAAATGAAATATGTTAAAAACAAACAAATAAACAAACAAGCAAAAAAAACATAAAAACATCCACAGAACAACATTCAGAGGTGCTTAATGAGTTTCGAGTAACCACAGGAACATAAGAAGTCATTAAGTTCAAAAGTCTTGCCACCAGTGGCAATTAAAAATACACAATCTTGCAATACGTTATACATGGATTACATTTTCCATTTATATCATCTTTTATTCATATCCATGAGACTGTTCACCACCTAAGTAATATGTATTTCTCAATATATGAATATATGAAGATGATATAGGAATAAAGCAATTCAGATTCCCACTGGTGTCATGGAAATATCTTGTTAGATGCTTTAAGGGTCACATTCATGTCTATTCGAAGTTTGGATCAAGCCACCTCTCCTTATCTTGCTTTGTACTTTCCATTCTTTTCCCTTCCCCAGATGACACCATTCATTTAACTTGGTCTGTCTCCAAAATCATATACAAGCACAGGGGACCCCAGATTTTTTTTCGTATAGGGCCTCTCCTTGCACAGTAACCTGCCAAGAAACTGATACATTTTCTGAAATTTATAGTTCTTTCTGAAGGAAGAAGAATTAATTTCAGAAAGTTTTGGGCAAGAATATACTCCAACACACAACAAAGTACTGTTTATCATACTGAAGTGAACTCCCCACATAAAGTGTTGGAACTGAGAATTCAGAAGAGCATTAATGCTACCAGATCTAGTTTTTGTTTTGTTTTGTTTTTTCTTTTTTCTTCTAGCTTTCTTCTGTCATAAAATATTGCATGTCATATGATGTCTTCCTCTGATAGATTTTTTTATTATTGTTTTGAACAGAAGATAAAAAGTGTTTCAGATCATGCTGCTCGAGTTTCCAACAGATATTTTACGAGCAACAATTTTCTCTTTGTCTTGACATTGACATTCAAGATTAGTTCCATTTTTTCTCCCTAATTAAGTTTTCCAAGACAATTGTATTTTTGAAACAAACAGAATACTTTCCCTGAGGGCATCAGAAACTTAATCTGTCCAATTTCCTTTCAATGGATATTGAAAACAAAGCAGTGCATTGTAACTCAGTAGGGTATTCAGTACCACGTGACGTAAGAAAAAGAAAAGGTACTATGAAAATAAATTCAACATAGAGGGCAATGAAAATATAGTCATGAAAAATCCTTTAAGACACCTTTTTAAGACTTGACAGAACTGCCTGTTCCTATTAAACTTTGTCTCTCTTCTAAGGGAGGTTAAGACACTAAATCTACACAAAATTGAGGATTTTCGTATTCATAACAACACACTGACTGAATAGCATTAAATTGTTTAGAATAACCTAAAGGATCAGATCAAATCAGTTTATATAGCAGTATTGCTTATGACTAGATATTTTTTCTTAAAGTTTGATTGTTCTACAGAGATACTGTCTTTCACAGAACTCATATTTTTTCTGACACATGACAGAAAATAATCCATTATGCTAAGAATACAGTTATAAGATAAAGATAAACGGTAAGGCTGTAAATGACTTTTTATATGGAATTTATAAGTCTTATCTTAAAATAAATATAACTGTTGTAGCAGCTTTTGGATTCTGAACAACAAACCCTTAAGAAAATAATTGCAGATCTTTATTTCCAGATTCTGGAGAAATTAACTGAAAATAATAATTTGTGTTGTGTTGCATGCAGCCAGTATAGCCTACCAGAAAAAGAACTCTGCAGAAGTCTTAATCAGTACTGCTAACAGACACTCTCATACATGAGACAGTAATTTCTACTACATACAATTTACAGATGTACATACAATTTACATAAGTACATGAGTACACGGGTGTGTGTACCATGTGTGTAGATAAATATAGAACACTACAGAACTTCTTACAAGTGACTACACATCGATGTTACGGTGTAGATTTCAGCTTCAGCTGTGCCTTTCACACAGAGTTCAGAAAGGTACTTACTGATGTGTAGAGGAAACCTTCACCATTTAGGGCTATATACAACCCGGTTTTTACGCCCTGGATAGCAACAACTCGAAGTCCCACTGGTATAAGGTTGAATAATGCTGTGAAGAAAAAAACATGACCAGATATGATCAGATATGATTCATAGTATATGAATATACTATGGTTATTAAAATATTTTAATGAACAACATTGATAAAAAGAAAGACAGGTCTTTCCTTCTTTTTTTTTTTTTTTTTTCTGACTTTAAAATTAAAACTATTCAGAAAATATTGTTTTTAGTAAAGTTAATCCTTAAAATTAAAGCCTAAGTATCTATTTAGCAGTAAGTCCTGCAATATTTCAGTATCAGGTACGAGTGCCAAATAGCAAATACAAAGCAAATACAAATACAAGCACTGCAGACACAAGTATCTCAAATGATCTGAAAAGAGTCAGAGACAAACATTTCCTTCACCAATATAAATGGATCAGACTGGCAATGCATCTGAGATACCCTGAAGAATATATACTTTCCTGATTCAGGCAAATATATATATTTTTTTATTTTCTTAGGCAACTTTATGTTACCAGTTTAAGATGTACTCTTATCAAGACTGCTTTTAAGGGGTCGTGATTTGAAGTCTAAAAAAATTACTTGGTTTTGTGAATGGTATATTTGGTACAAGCCTCAGGTAGCTGCTTGTCCTACTTCAGGAAAGCACTGAAATATGTGTTTGACTCTGAAAGTGTATTAATATTGAGTTGAATATAAAATGTATTCAAAGGCAGAAGTTCTGGAAAATCATTCTTTGAATTAAAAAATAGATAATAGCAGATACCCTAGCAATGATATACACCTCTGTAACAACAAAAGCAGACACAGCTTTGATTCATCTGAAAAATACTAGTGATGGAGAGTTCACTACAACAGAAGAAAAACTGGTATAAGTAAATTTTACTTTCAATATATAAATTCTATATCAAACCATATTTTTTAATTACAGAAGAATGAGCAAGGAGATTTGAAAAATCTACTTTCTCCTGAAAAACAAACAAACAAACAACAACAAAAAAAAACAACCAAACAACAACAACAAAAACAAACAAACAAAAACAAAAACAAAAAAATCACAGAATCATAGAATGGTTTGGGTTGGCAGGGACCGTAAAGATCATCCATTTTCAACTCCCCTGTTATGAGCAGGGACACTTTCCATTACACCAGGTTTGCCAAAGCCCCATCCAACCTGGTCTTGAGCACCTCTAGGGATGAGGCATCCAAAACTTCTCTGGACAATCTCTTCCAGTGCCTTGCCACCCTCAGAGTGAAGAATTTCCTGCAAATCTAAATTTCCCCTCTTTTAGTTTAAAACCACCAGTCCTGTCACTCCACTCCCTGACTTAGAGTCCCTCCCCATCTTTCCCGTAGGTCCCCTGTAAGTACTAGAAGGACACTGAGGTCTCCCTGGAGCCTCCTCATCTTTAGGCTGGACAACTCCAGCTCTCTCAGCCTTTCTTCATAGGAGACCTCTCCAGAGCTCTGACCATCCTCTGGACCCACTCTAACAGATACATGTTCTTATGCAGGGAGCCCCAGAGCTCAACATAGTGGGTTTTCATGAGAGCAGAGTCAAGGGGGAGAATCACCTCTTTCAACCTACTAGCCTACTTCTACCTCACTTCAACCTACTTCTTCTCACACAGGATACAGTTGGATTTCTGCATTGCAAGCACAATACAGTTGTGCATTGTAAGAACAAGAAGCTAAATGGTATTTACAATTCAGATCTAGAATCACAGCCAGAAGATTACAATATTCTTCAACAAATCTTTTAGACTGCCCACTGCATACACTGAAATTACCTGTGTTAGAAAAACGAGACACAGACCAATTCTTGTTCTAAGAATTATGCCAGCAAACACACCTATACTAATTTTACTAACTCATATCAGGAAACCAAACACAAAGCACACATCAAACAGTCTCTGAAGAAAAACCTGGATGTGCCAGAGCTCATGCTGATCAGTTTTTCACTGTGGATGAGTCATGGATTCACAATTACTTGGATGAAAACCAGAAGTGCAACCACTGTGTTAAATGTAGGCAAAGATAATAGTTGTACCAAGCCAAGTCTCAGTAACACAGTAATACCTACATTAAGTTCCTCAAACTGTAGGAATAGCATCCATAAGTGCAAGCAGAAAGTGTGCACTATGAGGCTACTTGTAATTAGAATGGCAGTGGTAAAGCCCAAATCAAGAGAAAAAGGGCAATATGTTTGCAGTGGTTAAGTGTGTTTTCATAAAATGTGAAAACTCCTGGGTCATCTAAGGACATAAAGTCACAGATAAAGCTGATCAAAGCAAAAGCTGATAAAGCTGATCAAATCTTTACAACTGAGAAAACATATGGATACACTATTATAATTTGAAGATAGAAGTGGATGGAAAAAAAAAAGGAAGAAAAAAAAAAGAAAAAAACACCCTTTCCTCAGCAACAGCAACATTCTCTGGAATATTCTCATGTACAAAAAGACATATAGTTCCATAAGATTTTTTTTTTTCTGTTTAGGAAGTCAAAAAGTGAGCCAGAAATTGTCATGGCAGCTGTAGAAATAAAATTGTATTAAAAAAAACTCTGGAACAACATAAAAGTTATGGAACAGAAGTTTCATACAAACAGAAAAGTTATGGATTTGCAAAGAAAAATAGAAGAGATGAAATCACATAAGAATTAGCACAAATATGTAGTATTTGAATTTCAGTAATTTCTGAAAGTCTCAGTCATGTTAGGTTTTTACTGGGCTGGTCTCTGTAAAATACTGCATACAAACAAGATTCCCTCTCTAATTTATAAAAGATAAATGTAAACCAGTGAAATATGGTAGTAACAGACAAGATATCCTACGAGTATATAGGTTAAGCGCTACCTGACTTGAAGACTTTCAAATGTTCAATATAATTTGTAAGTTTTAAAAAATAGCTATTACCTTCAAATGAAATGATGTGAAAAACAGAAAAACCACTATACAGGATAGTGTAGGGTGAGTCTGTCACAGTAAAACTAGGTTTTGTAGCGAATTTACCATCAGGCCTTTTTACTCAGGCTGAAAGGACCAAGAAATAAATGAAACAGAAATGGACAGAGAGGCAGTTAATTTTGTTTTCTTTCTAGAAGAAAAGAAATTCCAGGATATACCTGGATATGAGCACCCTATAGACGCTGGGCAGCAAATATTTAGGGGATGTCAGGAAGAAAAAACAAATATTTTTATTATGAAAAAGGTGAACACACACACACACAAAATGAAAAGCTAGTGAAAAATAAACTTAAATCACAGAGTTTCTGTCAAAACTTATGGAATGTACACTTCATTTACTACACTACCCATAAAAAAATAAAATAAAATAAAAAAGCAGAAATAGGAAAAAAAATGGAAAAAAGAAAAAAAAAAACCACATTGAAGAAAAATTAGTAGCCTGTAACATAGTAGTGTTTTATGCTACCTATAAAATTACTGGAGTGCCTTATAGATGCTGGTGAATTTAGAAAGCAGTGAGGAGGCGACATAATGTATCTTCTACTGCCACCAACTATTAATCAGAGATAGTATGAGCTGCTGTAATTAGTGTAAGACCATAAAATTTTAGAGTGTGATATGAATTGCTGTAATTCTGCACATACCAAATATTCAGTATTTACCACAAAAGCTTTCAGACTTTGGAGAAAGTAGGGAGGCTAGTCTACTATTGATTGATAAATGCTCAGCAATGTGCTTCACACTGAGATCAGCAAAGCGTGCACCAGTAACGTAGGGCATGTGATTTTTACATGCTCTGAAGCTGGCCAAAGGAAAATCACCTTCCTCCACAGCCAGGCTGTGCCATGCTCCACACGAGCAAGACTTCAGTGTCCAACTGCAAATTTCAAACCTTTCTAGGATTTTCTTGTGTTATCCCCCACTCTAATAAGAACCTGCCTTATAAAAGCAGAAAGCTTTCCACAGCTTGCTGGCTTATCAGATCTGCACAGCCAAAGCTCTACTCTTACCTAAGTGGTGGTAAAAAAATAATTATGCCCCTAGCTTCTGTCTGTCTTTTAGACAATCATCCAAAACCAAAAATAAATGGGGAATTAGGTCCCTGAACATTTTGATTTTTCTGAACCTAGCTCAATGAGTACACTGATATGCTGAGAGAGACAGCACTCTTAATCAGTCAAGAAAATACAATTCTGCCCTGTACTCAATTCTCTTATGCTTAAGTATAAACCCTGGTAAATCCACCTGCAAATAAGAGGCGGGAACATCAGGGAAATCAAGGGAACCAATAGACAGAAATGGTGAAAGTAAAACACTTTCTCCTCCAAAGCTCTGAGCCTGTGCAGAGTGCCTTAGCTCTCTTTTGCATTCCATCTGATCCATGATTGTAAAGCAGATGAATTTACTTCCTTTTCTTATGCCTGCGAGCCTACTTTCATCACATACAAGATCAGAACATGAAGGCAGAGGGCAGTCAACCGCAACAACTGGCCAGAAAAGAGAAAACTTTTCATTGTTACTCTTTTAGGTATCAGGGGGGAGATTTGCTGGCATTAATTTGAGTTGGATTCTGATCATCCAAAAGTTTTAGCCAAAGCTATAGTAAAAGCCCTCTTTTTGATAAGTAATAAATCCTTCCTTTACTTGAGCAAAATGTAAACGCTTCATTTTCCCTATTTCCCCCTATTGTGTTGCCATCATAGTATATTAACTTTAAATCTGAAATGTCTGAAATTAGATATTTAAATACCCCTGTGAAAGTCTGTGTATGTATGACTGACATAGCTACAAGAAAATTGCCATTACAGATCATTTCTTTTCTCAAGAAACTTGCTAGAAACCAATTGCATGAGGCTTATTAACTTTCTGTCCGTTCTGCAAGTGCACTGCCCTGGTGTCAATTAACAAAACTTCCCACAGCAATTTGCAATCAGATCAAGGCAAGTATTTCTTTAATATATTTCCATCTATGGGCCCAAAGGCAAAAACAACAGATGTAACATAAGATGTAATTAAAATGCACTTTTTATTGTGGCTGAACATGGCCTCCATTGATCCTGTCATACTAAGACTATACTGATAGGAGAAATGGGCTTTCCTAAATTCCAGAGGTTGTGTTGAACAGATGACTAAATGCCTGTGTAATTCTTTGAAGACTACAGTACTGCAAAATTCAGACTGAAAATATTTCAATTTAGTAACACAAATTTAAAAGCATTAAAAGTGTTGTTTTTTTAATTCTTATATGCTTTATTTCTAATGATCTATTTTATCTTACAAGGATGCTGTAAAGATTATTTATTAATATCTTCAAACCAAAATGTTCTAGTGGTACGTAGCTTAGATAAACATTAAAAAGTTACAAGTTTTACATTCCATTTGGAAGATATAAATAGAGAATTAGGAGCATGCATTAAAAGATTAAAATAAAGGAATGTTAAATGGGTGCGTGGTTTTTTGAACGTAAGCTCTTCTAGGTACCAGTTGTCATGAAAGAAATAAAGTGTGGTGTTGCATAATTAACTAAGAGATGTGCACAGCATAGCCAAATCAAAGTTTCTTGGGTAATCTTAAATTTGGCACCTATTGTTTATGAAATAGGGCTAAAAATGAGTGATGCTCTTTTAATATATTTTAAATATTACTGTAATTTCATACAAGGCATGAATAGCAACATTTGAATGTTAAAATGAAGATTATCATGGGAAATATCATAATGCTGAATTTTTTCAGTGGTTGTCTGAGTTCACATATTATCTTCACATGAATCAAAATAAGCCACTGCATTTCAAACTCAGAAATTAAAGAATTAGAATTGCTTGTTTCTCAAATTTGATTATTCTTCCTAGTAAACCTACCTTTCATTTGTGAGACAAAATGCTGAATATAAACTAAAGCCTGAAAATGAGACTTTCTGGATGGGGAAGTCATGAGGGGAATGTAATGCTTGTTACCAAAAGCACATGGATATCTATTTCTTTATAGTTTCTCTGCGATAGGTTAGTTTTCCAAAGCAATAATGGTGAAGTACCTGGAGATCATTGTGAGCACCTGCCCCCAGTATAAGTTTAATTTTCAGCAAGTAATGCTGAGAATTGCTGTAAACGATAAAAAATTATGACTCCTACTACTCCTGCTGAGTAAGATCACAGTAACCAAGTCTACTATTTTAACCACAGACACTCCTGCTTTCATTAAAACAAACAAACAAACAAAAACCATATACCAGAAACTGTAAGGCATTGAATGAAGGAAAAAAACAGCTAAAAGAAAAGAATCAATGCAATGAAGCCTCTTTCCACATATTTCTGTGAGTTTGGCAAAAATGCAGACTGTACATACAAGATAGTTTAAGTTAATAGTCTTCTTTTGAGAATAAAAGGAAACTAAGCAACATTAACCAATAGCTGTATTAGTTAATACTCTATCACAAAATATAACTACCTAAAAAATACATAAAAAGAGATATCAACAATAAACTGAAACCCATCAATCCATTCGCAATGGTTGACACTTTATAATGGGTTACACTTCAACAGCTGACTGAAACCACAACTCATTTTGATTTCAGATAGAAGCAAAAGACCCCACTAAGGAGGACTAGCTTTAAAGACAAAAATGAGTGTTAACATAACCACTCAGTCTGAACAGACTACATTTTGATCTTTCTCTGCACTGTCTCTCCATAACCATGACTCCAATAGTATGTAACATGTTTACTGGTATACATACAAAATGAGTACAAAAAGACCTGTGCTTGAGGGAATTTTAACTTTAAGCAATGCTCTTACTGCTTGATAAAAGAAATTTCAACAGCACAAAATGTAGAACTATAACTAAGCTTCAAAGAGTTTCCTCGCTGAAAACAAAATCCTCTTCTCTGTCCCTTGCCATTCACTCACTTTGGTTTCTTCAAGACAGTGAACTACTCAAAGGCTGTGCAGGTGATGAGGACTGCTTCACAGGCTGCAGTGACAATGAATAGCGAATAGCTCAGCACATGCCTGGAAGGCTTGGCAGAGATGCATGCCCTTCAGCAATCTCAATTACCTCTCTTTTTATGAAACACACTTCAAACAGAAGTCCTCCTCACCACCAAGGTAAGCGTATTGTCCTATTAACAGCTAATATATGTCCATCCCTTTGCCCACTGGGTACATTAAATAGGCAGACTACAAGCACACTGGTCAGAAGAATTTTCCCCTCACACAGGAGGATTCTTCCTTTATTGCTGCCAAACCTGATTTATCGGTTTACTTATTTTCTCAGACATGAATTATCATGATAAAGAGCTCACCAAATAACAGATCAGAAGATGAGAAATTATATCCACGACAAAATTATTTTATGAAGTAAGAAAGAAAAAGGAAAACAAAATATGCTGCAATAGAGAAAAGTGATAGAAAATAAAAAGTTCAACAGGTCATGGACTGGGAATGGAAAAGAGCTAAGGAGAAAGACTGACAGCACAAAAGAAGTACACATAATCATATATGCATGACTATACCAGATGGATCAATCTTTTCAACTGCTGATACATTGTTGATACTAGTCAATATACTGGCAAAATTCAATGTGAAGATTGTATGTTTTCCTGGCAAACAACATGGATTTTATACATCTTTATGGTGTAACCTAACTATACTATAAAATTGGACTACTGCAGAAATAAACAGTGAAGCACACCAGTTAGAGAGTAAAAATCCTTTTGTAGAAAGAATCACTTTAGCCTAAAAGCCATGTTGAATTAAAACATTATATTACCTAACAGTATTTATCCAAAACATGGATTATATGGATTACATCCAAAATATATCTGGTATTTGGTTGGTTTTGGACAAGTTTTATGTTTCAAAATATTTACACTATAAGATATTAATTCTGCATTTTGGAACAACTGAGAAGAATAAGACTGGCAGACAAATGGAAATCCAGAAAGAGATGGAAGAGGGGAGAGAAAAGACAAATAATAAACAAAAAAGGGAAGATTTGTAAAGCTGACAACAGAGAAAAAAAGAAAGGAAGGCATGATCAGCTAGCTTTGTGAAGATTCAAAATCCACAGATGTCTAAGATTAAAAAAAAAAAATCCAAAATTTTTGCCATCATACACACCTTTTCACTGAAGTGGAAAATTAGAGAAAGGAAGAGAGTGGAAAGGGAGAGAAATAGGAGCTTACACTCTAAGACACATTACTTAGATCTCATCTAAGTAAAGCGTCTCTAAAAAGGAATGATCTTGTCTGTACAACATTTTAGTATTTGGTCCAGTACAGAAGTGGGCATGAGAGATGAACACACTAAGGAAATGGGAAGAAAAAAAACAAGGGAAGGGGGAAACAAGCGAACAAAAACACACTTTGAAAACAAACACAGAGAGAGAAATATTCATCAAAATAGATTAGTCAATTATTTTTCTCAATTCTAAAAATAATATAACAGTAAGAGAAGCTCATGCTATCTGCTGATGAAATATGTTAAAATGACAGCCATGCATTAACAAGTAAAATAAGGAGCATTGCCAAAGAAAGCAGAAGCTTCAAATCCCTTAATTTCTGCAGCCTAATTCCAACATTCTTGAGGGAACTAAAGACTTATTTATATATGCATAATAAATAGATAAATCCTTTGTATTAAAATGCTTATAATAGACCCCAAGACCACATAGAAATATTACTTAAATGTTCCATTATCATTGAACTAAACAAAATACAAATGCTCTTTGCAAAATGGAAAATTAAAAGTCAAGTTTTTCTAGAGTAAGAATACGTTTGTTTAACATTTGCAGCTGAAGTTATCAAATGTATATATGTCCGTTGAATGAAAATATGTGGCAGTATCATAGGAAAAGAATACCAAAGCAATGATCCACACTGCCCATCAAGACCACTCTCGTTTGGAGTATTTTTGAAAATTGTAGCAGTCCCCACACTGGCAGAAATCCTGTTTAAATCACTGGAACTCTTGCTAGTGTAGGGACAGACTGTAGGATCTTTAGCTCCAATTCAGCAAGGCACTTCAGCCTCTGCTTTAGGCAGGACTTTGATAGCTTGGCACACATTTATTTGTTTTGTTGAGTCAGTGCCTGTATGATCAGATTTTCAAATATGTTTTTTATTCCTTTATCTTTTTTTTTGTTGTTGTTGTTACTTAATCAAAAACAATAAATTTCTGTTAAATGTATAGTTTTATTTTTTTTAAATATTACATGATTTTACCATTTTTATAAAAATATCTGAAGACAACACTGGCCTAAATATCTCACCCCCAAGATCCATTGGCACTTACACCTTCAGAGGGAATACATTTAGGCCAGCATCCTGCACAAGATGTGCCAGGCTTCCAATTGACAGAACCCTCTTCCTTTTGACAAAACACATCAGAAACCCTCCAAATACATTAAAAGTCTTTCTGCATGTATACACTTGAATGATTCAATCTGCGTGTGCGATTAAGACATTCCCCTATGACATTCACTTACTAGAATTACTGCTGTCATCCTTGGTTCCATCGAGACTTCCATCGGGGTGCATTTGCAAGTAGTAGCCTTGCCTGCAATATAACCTGGTCACTATACCCTTGAGCTGGGGATCTGAAAGACAAACATATTTTGTCACTAGCCTCAAAACTTTTTCCAAGACTTATCCCTACTTCTCTCACTGTAGAAGGAAGTTTGGTGAAGCACCATTGCCGTCTTAAAGTTGTACTAGAACAAGATGGTTCCTGATGGAGATGGAGAAACATCTTTCTGCAGAGTATAATTATGCCAGTTTCATGTCCTGTTCTCTGTCTTAAACATCCTTAATTACAATTAACAGAGGTAAAACAAACATAAAAATAGAATACACCAAACACCCATAGTCAAAAGACTTAAACTAGATTAAGCCCTACAAAACTTTGTAGCAACAAGCAGCAAACCTTACAGAAGCCTAAAAAAATAAAATTAATTAATTAATTAATTAACTACTTTTATTTAATACTTGTTAGTAACTTACTGTACTTCACATAAGTTCTAAGATCATGTGCATGAAAGCATCTGTTTCATTTCACTCGCTACCAGAAGTCATAAACTCATCTGGTACAATATTTTGTAAAAGTCCCAAGACACCAATCTAGAGGCAGAGGCAAGGTGATTGCCATAACTTTACTAGAAAAAACAAACAAACAAACAAACAAACAAAAAAACAATAAAAATACCTGAGTAAGATAAAATTAAATGGGAATTCAGGTAGCTGAACAGCTAAGCTACCTACAATTGTAAAACTTGCCAAGAATTGAGTAGGTGTTACCAAGCATCAACTTTGTGATTCATCTCAAGGATGGTGCCTTACCAAACCACTTACTAAGCTGCTGAAAATTTGGTTTAGTGATGAAGAAAATGACATCACATCTTAAAAAAAATAACAGCGCTACATGTGTGATACTGCTCCTAATATTGATAACATAAACTATTAGGCCCAACTATAGCCATTCAGTACAATATGGTATAAACTTTTGGGGACATTGGCATTAAAGGCTTCTATATCACATTATCCTTAGCTCTGCAGTAATGAACACAAAGACTTTGAGGCAGATACGTAAAATGAAGAAATGAAATTTTAAGTAAGGCAGAAATGATTTTCATGCAAACCTGTAGCCAGAATATAAAATCCTCCTTGAATTTGTATATAATTGCTCTCACAGTCAATCATGCTGTGTTACTTACAGTATCCTAAGAGAAAGTGAAAATAAACACTAATAAATGAAATTGTCTCTAAGTGGAATGATCTAAAGTTTTCTACAGAAGCTGAGTTCCATGAAATGTGCATGAAAATGATACATTTTTCTTGAAAATGCAAAGTCATATGAAACAATAAACACATCTAAATTAAAAATATAAGTTTAAATTGTAAATATCATAGAAATATTAACACAAACTGTTGAGGCATAGAAATAAAGTATTTTGTGATAAACAAGAACATTAAAACTTTTCTTTTGCTTTTAAATTAAAATTTTGATTTATTTATACTTTAGCAAAAATTGCTCTGTCTTTATATGAGAATAATCAATTTAATATATATAAATATAAATATAATAAATTTTATTTTATTTGAAAGTACTGCCTTAATCAACAATATCAGGCAAACCAAAAATATTTTCATCATTTAAAAGTTAAAAGTGAGTTCCTCCTACACAGGTACTGTTCTTTTCATCGCATTCTTTCAGTACACACTTCCAAACTGACAATTTTAAACATACTTGCTTTATACATACTGACATTGTATCTTAAAAGACTAAAGAAAATAACTAAGGCAAAATTATTATAACCAGAGCTTTAAAAAGTATTTACAGGGAAAAAATATCAATATTTTGAAAAGCTGTTTCTATATCTAACAAACAAGAATTAAATCTGATTTTAGCTTAAAGTATCCCACAGGAGGGCAATTAGTCAATTCACTATCACCAGTCGTTTACACCTACCACTACAAAGGAAAAATGCAAAATTTAGAAGTGATTTTCAAAGTTATTCTTTATAGTTATTCTATTTATTGTTTAAATTCTCAAATAAAATCTACTTTGTTACAAGAAATCACACAATCATGTCTATATTTTCTCCAGAAGCATTACTTAAAATTAAACCAAAATTTACCAACTATCCAAAACCGTATTTGAATGAAAATAATTTAGTGAATAGTTATGCATTTCAGCTCGCATTTCAGACTTCATATGGTGGGGAAGGGCATAAGTCCTCCATTTATTTGTTCACTCAAGTTCAAATACAGCAAAACAATAACTATTATAATGTGAGACAAGAGGACCTCAGTTGTGTTTTATCTCATTTGTATACAGTTTTAATAGTTCTAGTTGTCAGAGAATAGTCACAAAACAGCTCTTTCACTCAAATATTTCATTCAAAGCTGGAATTTATTACTAATAACATGATATTAATTAATATTTTGATTATGCCATATAGGTCTCTATAGACCAAAACAAGGAGAAAAAGGTCCTTTTTCCCACAAAACATAGCAATTTCAACTTTCTTTTTACCTTTTTTTTTTTTTTTTTTTTTCTACAGATTATTAGAACCTTGTTTATCCATTCTCCTAAGGTCTTTTCTACTTCAAGGTTAAAACTAATTCCTGATTAAAAAAAAAAAAAAATCATAGAATTTTTACAAGTTCTTGATTGTCATATTCAGTTAAAATAATACTTCAGGTCTACAAATCAGAGTAAGAGACGAGCTAAATATTTAAGCTGAACAGTGCTCAAAATACTGAGAGAATTTGACAAGACAATATGTTTTTATTTTATTTTTCATTATTTATATTTTAGGAAAAATTAACCCAAATTTAGTGATGGGGTTGTATGCAATGACTCATTAATCTCAATGGAAGTCATAATAAGCAATAGTCAAAATGCCTACTCTATATAGTCTGAAAATGGATTAAATATCTTAAAAGAAGAAACAGACAATCTCGCCAGGCAAGGAATTCATCTCTTCACCTTGCAGAAAGATAAATGATTCTTTCAGGTCAATTTTGAGATAGTTGGGCAGCAAGCAGTACAGAGAAATCCTCTGGTCTCTGTATTGTTACAGCATTTTATCTATCTATTGTCAGTTGATAACATTACAGAAACAGTCTCAGCTTCAGACAGTTTGCAAATGAGTTTCTCAAATCCTTCTTGACCACACTTATTTATTTATCTTTATTGTGCATTAGAAAGCAGGAGCTAATAGCAATACTCAGTAATACCAACAAAAGCCTACTGCTGCCTGTCCTCAGGTACCCGATACCTGATGCTTGTAACTCCCACCACGCTGATGCAGGTAGACAGAAAAGCAATTATCCTCACCCTTTACTCCCCACACATGCCTTTTTCTTCCCACATGAAAGAGTAAGGAAATGGCAAGAGAACGCAACCATAAAACACAAATTATCAGGATGAGAATGGATGATCTAATCAAATAGCTCCCATTTCTCATATTTTTTATTATAGATTTTATGTTAACGGTTCTGTGGTAGTCTTACTTGTGTCACCCAGACAAATATGTGAAAAAAAAAAAATTTTGCATTCAATTCTAAGCACTTTGACTTCAGCCAAAAAGAACAAACAAACAAAAAACAGAAAAAGCCCACTTCACCATGAGTCAAAATTAAAAGTCAATGCAACATCTCCTAATGGTTTTTACTGATCTTATTTTAGGTCTGTACTTCTGATTTTGAAGTTCAAAAAAAATCATTTTTCTGATTTTTGTTCAGTGTGACAATAATGCAATGCCCCACCATGGAGAGAACCATTCTCGCTTGTAATGTTTAGAGAAATCCTATAAAATTTTGGAAATGTTCTCTTGAATAGACAAATCAACACATTTCCAAACCTCTCTTACACAGCAACCTGCATAAGAGCAGTCACTTGCAGCCCCTTTTTATTGCTGCTTTCTCTTGTCAGCGGCAGCAGCAGGAGGTATGATTGCAGTTAGCATGCACACTCTGTCAGTAGCCTGATGTCCTCAACAAAGATAGAGTTTAATTAAGTTGTCTTTTCTTCTCTCTCTAATAGTGGCTACAAAAACTGTTTTGTCATCAAGTCTTGACAAGTTGAGTACAGCTTTTGCTTTAGAACAATTACGACATTTGATGTTTTAAATTAAAAATATTTTCTGTACATAAACAGAATATTTTTAACATCTCCTCTTCCCTCACCTCTCCTCCTAGGGCTGCCAGGACAGATCTCTTCAGAAATTTTATAGATTTAAAATAAACAAGGTTATAAACTCATTAGAAACATGTTATGGCATTTACCTTTCATTTCAGACATAGATGAACTTACAATGCTACAAACAATGGCAGGTATGCCCATAGTGTTTTAACACCATGAAAAATGAACACTGTAGAATACACTGAAGTTTTAATTTTACATGAAACTCCTTGTCTTGCTTTTGGTGCAAAAGTTTAAGTCTTAAAACTACAGTTATATTTTAAAATTTATTTTTATTTTTTACCAGAGGGCTTTTTGTTGGTTTTGTTTGTTGTTTGTTTGTTTCAGCCTGGCATAATTTACCTACTCCCTCTCTTGAGTAAATAACAGTTGCTTAATCTCATTCTTATGGAGAATAACCTACACTAACCAGTTAATTACCAGTCTGTCACAAGTTCGTCAATGAGTCACATGAAAATGTATTTATTTAGCAGTGTTTATAGGTAAATTGTGCTCCTATTGCATAGCATAAAACTCATGTTAACTGGTAGCTCCATGTCTGTCACATTTTACTTGCACTTTACAATTTGTATTTCCCTCTTGCAGTTTTTACTTTTGGATAGTTAAGTACTAAAAATACCACTCACGCTGGTCCAGAATAAACCAGCCACCTTTTTTGGCTCTCTGATGCTTCAATAGTCACTGTGACTTGCCTATCATTTTTTTTTTTTTATTATTTTTATTTTTTTCTCTCTGACACAGTCTGCATTTGTTAAGAATCTTCTCTCTCCTGTTATACTTGATTTGAAATATCAAAAACACTTCTAAGCTTTTTTAGGATTAAAAACAAACAAACAAAACCACAACCATATCTAACCTGTTTTAGGATTAAAACAACAACAACAAAAAACA